CAATTAATAATAACAAAACAAGAACAACAATAATGATAATAATAATATGAATAATTAATTAACTTAAAGTTAAGGGTTTTAAGTACCAATTTAAATTTCAAAGTTTAGTTTATAAAATGAAACGATGATATTCAAATTGAAGAATAAAAGTAATAAATATAAAAAGTAATTAATTAATAAATTAATTATTATAAGTGTTAGTTTCAACATTTAATTTTTAATAACTAGCATTGTTAAAATCTCAAATCTAACTAGATATATTATTTAGTGTATGGAAAAATTAGGATGTTACAGATACAATGAGGTATCATTCTAAGTAACCATTCTCACACTGCAAGGGGTGCTGAATCGTAACTGTTCGATCTCTAATGGAATGATCATAGATGATGATGTTACTCTAAAACCACCAATTAATGCCCGCATATGGTATATTTGAAATTGGTCGTGGGATACTCTAAACATAACCATCTCTCGTAGACACCTTTTAGGAAAATGTCTAGCAACCATGGTCTCCCATCACATATAATATGAATATAATAACGACTCGTCTAACTCATTATAGACTCTATGATCAGTGTATGGTGTCTAGATAACAATATTTACAGTTAGCGCGTCGAGCCTTCTCTTGTACTCAACAACACCAACGGGATGTGACTGTCTGACCCTCTATCTCCTCATCCATGGGGACACCACTAGGGAATGCTGCACTTTCTTGTCACAAATGATGGGGAAATGCTTGTATATCCAACACTGATATCAAAACACAGACACAACAAATAATAAATAAGAAATTTTATTCATAACAATTAAATAAGAAATCAACAACAAATAAAAATTAGAAATTAGTTTTCATGGCACAATAATAAACAAATTAAAGTTAAACATAAAAGATATATACCTCTCCCTACCATAGTCGATACGCCACATGGTGAGCATACTCAATAAGCATCGACCGATTAATGGGTTCTTTAGGGAATCCTTCACCAGTGTGCATAAAGGGCTTAGTCGAAGGAGCCATACCTGTTGTGTTAGTAGTAACAAATGAGATCGGATCAGCAACAATAACATTTGGATGGACCACCTCAGCAAGCACCTCATCAACATCCACCTTAACAACTGCCTCATCAGCATCCACCTCAACAACAACCTCCCCAGAAACCAGTGATAACACTAAAACACATAGTTCATTTTGACTCGATTTGCATACATTTTAGTGTCATTGTACCATATTTTGTAGTGTTATGCTGGTAGTTTATACATGTTTTAGGTATTTTACAAGTAGAACTCGTTACATGAAGAAACTAGACAAAAAAGTGAGAAATGGAGAAAATATAGCAAAAATAAATCGGTGGCGACCTCCATGGCGTCTGCCATGGTGCTAGCCATGACTAGGCTAGCATGGGACCCACAAGTGAACAAGAAAGAAGCAAAAAGACAGATCCAAGGACCCATGGTGCCCGCCACAGGGACCATCGCTTGCGCCACCCCTTGCCAAACAGCCACAATCATGAATTTACACTTGTGGCAACCGCTACAGTGCATGACGCTCGCCATGCACTTCATTTCTTGAAAAATAGCAGCAATTTTGGCTCAGTTTTCTCCAACTTCCCTTATATTTTCTCCCACGATTTTTATACGCTTGGACTTCATCTTCTGCAACTGCAACACTATAAATAAGTAGTTTTATTAGGATTTTGGTATCCAAGTCTTATGCCAGTTTAGCAACTTTTAGTTTTAAGCAGAAATTCACCATTGTAAAGTAGTAGCTTTCTCACATCGAGGAACTACTACACCTTAGTGTTTTTAGGCAGTTTTTGTACGCTTGAATCAAACGATCTTGCAATCATTCGAAGTTTAATTTGATTTATTTCTAGCTTTACGTTTCAGGTTCATTTAATTTACAATTGCTTTACTTTTCAGCTTTTATTTTAAGTCATTTATATTTTATAGCTTTTACTTTAAGTCTTTTACGATTCATGTCTTATTATTTTATTTCCATTGTTATTGCTAGGAGTTCTTGTTTTATTTCTTAATTTCATATGCAACCCTTGCTATCATTTGTTTTAAATCGTTTATCATGTTCCTGTTTGATTTGAACGTTTATAACTGCATGTTTATTTTCGCAACCATGTCCGACTAAATTTTTAGAGTCCGGATGTGAGGATCGTCGTTCTGACGGGACTCGGTATAATTTTAATATTAATTTATTTTTTCGGTTTTGATTTTTAGTTTCGAAATTAAAAAAGTTTTGCGCGAAAGTGAAAATAGTTAGGTACCGGCCAACAACGTGACAGTGTGAGACCCGTACTCGATCGTAAAAAATAGATTTAATTTATAAAAACGACAACACTTTAGTGATTAATTAGGATTGATTAGTTTTCAAAAATTGTTTCGAAATTGTAACTGGGTAAGCGACATCAAAACACTTATGGTTTCGAAACATAACATGGACTGCACGAAAGTGAGGAGTGTTTTTAAGTTGATATTTTCTTCCGAAAAAATATTTTAAAAATCAAAACAAACGCCAAGAATTTATTGAGTCCTCTAGAGGTGTGACTGAAAATTACATTTCGGCCTCGCTTTTATCAATATTCTCCTAAGCCAAACTTTATTTCTTGTTTTAAATTTTCTTCCCACAAAAAGAAAATCCTTTTAGACTTAGATTTACAAAGCGAGAATAGACAAGAATAGGTTGACATTGGTCTTTGTGGGTTCAACACTTTTTAAACTATAACTGGCATTTTTTTTGCACTTGCGGATGTGCATCAACCACCTCATCTGCAACAACAATATATGGTTGGACCACCTCATCTGCCACCTTATCTCTGAGTTGCTCAACTAATCGTATTGGTCGACGTCGACTGCTACGAGGTGCATGAAGTTGACCCTGCTCAGTCAACCGTTTTCAGTGTGAATTAGTTGGAACCACTCGTCCAGCCTGTATCTGGGAAGACTCAGCCTCAACAGCCTTAATTTGGTCTATCTCTCTACTTGCAATAATATCGTCCCTACCTCTGTATTTCACTGCAAAAGAAAGAAAAAATTATTAACTACCGGAAATTCTGGAATTTGTAGTAAAAAATAAAGTTTTGATAAGTATTGGAAAATTTGAAATTCCAAATAATTTATTTTTATAACTACCGAAAATTATGAAATTTTCGGTAAAAAACAAAGCTTTTATAACAACTAGAAATTCTGAAATTTCCAAGTGATTTTATATCGGAAAATATTGAAATTTCCAGTTAAAATGTTTTCATTTATATCAATTTTTTTGAATTTTTCGATACAAAATCACGGAAATTTAGTAATTTGCGGTAAAAAAACTCACTGATTTTGAAAATTTTGATAGAAGAAATGAAATTTTTGGTACCGTCCTAGAGAAATCAAATTCGCGCGTGGCAATTTTGAATTTGAAAAATAAGTGAATTTTTTTTGCAAGGGCAATATTGTCTACTCATACGAAATAGAATGGTGCCAAGTTTAAGTGGGAAGTGTCAAGTTAAATATTCTGTGTTTTATTATGGGAATGTATTTTTAACAGTAAAAACAAACAAAGCATTGTTAGAAGCAAAAATTAATCAAAGAAAATTGTTAGAAGCAAAACTAATTGTTAAGATACCATACTTAAGAGAGTTATGCCTTTAAACAATTATCACAAATTAACTAAAAATAAATGGCATAAGAGAAATTGATTTTTTTTTATAGAAACAAAGTTAACGACTTTCATTACTTAACATAGGTTCAACATAGAGGAGGTATCACATTAACAATACTACGCCTAGACCAAGAATTGACCGTCTTAACTAACATATGATCAATCGAATTCTCTTGGAGTTTAATGAACTTAACCTCAAAGTTCGAAAAAAGATGCAACAAACGTTTAATGGAAAGAATAATAAGACTAAGTTCTAACCTCACTATATGCTCAGAGTGAATAGCCTAAACAACTAATTGAGAATCACTCTCGAAGGTCACATTATTCAATTAAACCGATATAACACCTTGCAAAACTTCTTTTAAATCCATGGCTTCAACTTCAATGGTGGAGAGGAGGCCAACGTCCCAAGCCACATCTACAATAAAAAAAATCTATCCAGATTATCTCTTACACACCATCCTCTATTAGTTGTGTCTCTTTGACAATTAAATCTAGCGTCAATATTACACTTCAATCTCCTTTTATTAGGAGGATTCCAAACTATTGGGTGATGAGAGGTATTATTTAAATCACTATCCTTATGAACTAAAAACCAATCTTGCCAACAGAAATATGCTTGCAAGCCAATTCTCGAAACCTCATCTCTAACATTATTCCAAACAACATTATTCATATTCTTCCAAAGCACTTCAATCATCACAGCAAATCGACCAACATCCCTCATATCCTGTCTATTACAAATGTCAATAATAAGAGACTTAGCATCAGTAAAAACATGAACACGGGAATCAATTATAGATGACAAACCTGCTGCCAGCCAACATGGATTGTAGTAGTGCAGCCAAAAACCACATGTCAATCATTCTCATCTTTAATATCGCAAAGCTAACAGATAGGAGGACATTGGACATAATGATGATGAAGCCTAGAACGGGAAGGTAGGCAGCCCCTATAAATCTTCCATAATAAATGTTTAGCGGTAGGGGGAACGCAAATATTCTAGAGATTTTCCCAATTCCCCTCCATCCCGTTATTACAATGTTTCACTTGGACATTCCTCCACAATCTATATCCAGTCTTGACACTATACAACACATTTTACTCCTCTTGCCAAACAAGACCATCTTCTAACACATCCTCCACCAATGGGACCTTTAAGACTTCTACAACCATTGTGCGGTCAAACAAAGAATTTATTACTTGCACACCCCATTGCTTAACGTTAGGCACCATGAGATTTTTAACATAAAGATAATACACACCTTGCCCTTGAGGACCACCCAAACACCCTTCTTCTTTGCCTCTAAGCCGATTGTCATTCATTATCTTAATTTTACTTCCATCACCTATACTCCACCTGCAACCAATCGTTAAGACATCCCTAGCCTTCCAAAGACTTCTCCACACAAAATTGAGGTTATTTCCAAGAATGGAACCAAGAAGAGAGGATTTAGGGAAATACTTTGCTTTGAAGACTCTGGAAACAAGGGAATGGGGGTTTTGTCAACATGGACCATCCTTGTTTAGCCACCATAGCCAAGTTAAAGGCTTTGAAGTCTTTGAATCTCATTCCTCCTTCCTTCTTAGTGCAAATTTGCTTGTCCCAGCCCAACCACTTAATTCCTTTATTGTTACTAGCACCACCCCACCAGAATGAATTTAACATCTTTTCAATATCATTCACCACCACGTATAGAATAAGATACACACTTATGATGCAAGACGAGATAGATTGCAAGATTGATTTAATCATCACCACTTTCCTAACTTTAGGCAAAGATCTACCCACTATAAAAGTTGATTCTTTTCCATATGCAATCCTTAATAAAAGGAAAACTCGTCTTTTTATTTTTGTCAATCATCGATGATAATCCCAAGTAAGATCTGATTCCTAACACATGACGCACTTCCATTAATCTCACAATATCCTCTTTGATTGGTCCATTGATATTTCGAGTAAAGAACACTTCAGACTTTATTATTATTAAAAACATTAAAATTTTAATGAATTGTGTATGAATTATTCTAAAGTTTTTATTATATTAAAAATTAAAAATTAAATAAATAATGAGCCAAAAAATTTAATTATAATTTAACATTAATATATCATCATAACAAACGCCATATTATAAAAAAAATTATTCTCAAATTGTTGAGCGACTAAAATCCATAAAAAAATCTGAGTTTTAAAATGGGAATCAAAACTAAAAAAAAACATGGGAAACTTTTGTATTTAAGCGATTATTAATATGTATTTAAATCTAAAGATGATATAGATGTCATTTGATATTATTCTCTTTTCAACATATTTTTAACATCTACTTTATCCCATTCAACATATTTTTAACATCTACTTTATCCCATTCAACATATTTTTAACATCTACTTTATCCCAAACACATTATAATATAGTAACTCTCAGTCAACCACACACCCCTACAAAGCTAAACAACAAATCCAAAAACAGCCACACTCTGCAAAAATGGCGAAATCACGAGAGCAACCAGCCACCGTCCTCCGGCGAATCATATCTTCCCCCGGCTGCCATCAAGGTCCCGCCTGCTTCGACGCTCTCAGCGCCAAACTCATCGAATCAGCCGGCTTCTCATACTGCATCACAAGCGGTTTCTCAATTTCAGCAACCAGATTAGGTCTTCCAGACGCCGGATTCATCTCCTACGGCGAAATCGTCGATCAAGGTCGTCTCATTACTCAATCGGTTAATATTCCTGTTATTGGTGATGGTGATAATGGTTATGGTAATGCCATGAATGTTAAGAGAACTGTTAAGGGTTTTATTCATGCTGGTTTTGCTGGAATCATTCTCGAAGATCAGGTAATTAATAGTAATTAATTAATAATTAGTAGCGTTAGTTAGTTGATTACTTACCTTCATTTTGTTTTTACTTTCTCATTATCTATTATAATTGTATGGTTCAAAAATAGTATAAAAAATTTACTATAATTGGGCGTAATAGATCCTTGAATCTGGAGATAGAAGTTTTATAAATTAGTCAAAGTCTAATCATAGACACCAGACACACGACACCGAGTGACTATCTGGAATTACAATTGTGAGTGACTGATTTTTAGCCAAGTAGTTTATGGATTTGTTTGGATGAACTAGTTTGAGCTTATCTATAGGGACATAAATTTTGATCGCTATTACATAATTTGTTGTTAATATATGTGATGGAAATTAGGTGGCACCGAAAGCATGTGGGCACACGCGTGGGAGGAAAGTGGTTTCGAGAGAGGAGGCGGTTATGAAGATTAAAGCTGCAGTTGATGCTAGAAGTGAGAGTGGTTCTGATATTGTGATAGTGGCCCGCAGCGATGCACGCCAAGGTGTGTCTCTTGAAGAAGCACTTTGGAGGTCAAATGCATATGCTGAAGCTGGAGCTGATGTTGTCTTTATTGACGCACTTGGTTCTGTTGAAGAGATGAAAGCTTTTTGTCAAGTTGCTCCTCATGTTCCTCATTTGGTATGTGTTTATGTCGTGTAATAAAGTTCTTATTCCGCACTTCATACCAGAAAAAAAAGAGAGAGGAAAAGGAGCAAATTGAATAATGCTCATAAATAAATGTACATGTTGGTTAACCTGTTATCTTTGTGAATGTGTATAGGCAAATATGCTTGAAGGAGGAGGAAAAACACCGATACTTAATGCTCAGGAACTCGAACAAGTTGGATACAAACTTGCTGTTTATCCACTTTCTTTGATGGGTGTTTCTATTCGAGCAATGCAGGTCACAATCCACATCTCTTCCTACGCTTACCCTTTTATCTTACCCTTTAAGTAACGTATTATAAGACACGCTAAGCGATAGCGATATACAATTATCAGTCTGAATTGCTGTTTTACACGAGTTTTATCTTTACCTTTTCTCAGAAACAACTTTTGAAAATTAATGCCAGGGTTATGTATGTTGAACTCTTAATTTTAATCATGCAGCACCGACACTTTGTATTAAAGATTTAGTGTGTGGTAGACACCGGCATTTGTGATTGGTTATATTCAATTACTTCGAGTGTTTTTTTGCATGTTTGTGATATTCTGTATTCACGTTTGTGTCATGCCGATTGTATAATTAAAAGATTGCTATGACTGAATTTGTAGGGTGCACTCACTGCCATTAAGGTAGGTGGTATTCCTCCCCCGGAAAGCTTGCCATCTTTTGAAGAAATTAAGGATATTGTTGGTTTCAACGATTATTACAAAGAGGAAGAGCGTTATGCAACAACTACAGATCACCAGCTTTAAGCATTTAGAGAGAAAATGAACAAAATTGAGTCAATAAAAACCCTTTTACAGAGGGGGCGATTTAGTCTTTTTCTTTTAAGAGTAGTATTGTATTGTATTGTAAATGTAATCTAGACATGCTTTTATCTCCTTAACTTTGTGCATCTGGTTCAGCATATTAAGATAAATATCTGATCAGTGTTTATCTAAATAAATTAAATCCATCTAATAAATCATGCACAGTTTTCTTCGGAGACAATTAGACTACTATTTTGAATTTTTCTGTTTCATCACTATGGGGAAATAAATGCCTAATCCATTGTTGTCAAGTATGTGCCGTTAGTTATTTGTTTATTTATCATACGTATGCTTTATCAAATGATTTTTTCACATACTAGTAAATGTGTCTTTAAGATATTGTGAGTTTTTATTTATTTATTTATTTTTACTTCTAACCCTCATTTGGTCATCTATAAAGGCTATTAAAAGTCATGTGCTAGTGTGTTAACCTGGAAGTTTTTACTTGGAAAAAGTTAAATGAATGCTACATCAGTGAAATGTTAAATTGATGGAGGAAAGTCAATCGTAATGAAACGTTGACTAAGACTTCACGACTGATCTCTTGAGATGTAGTTTGAAAGAATTTTAAAAGTAAATCTTGAGATTTGATTTGGAGGAGTCTCAAGAACAAACCTGTATAACTACTTGACACCATGTCGAAGACGAGACTCTCAACATACTCTAAAGACTTAGAAAATTGAGGAAATCAAAGACAAAAGAGACTTAGCACTTTCAATAATTACCTTCAACGAGCAGACAATTACTAATTGTTAAGAGCGATTAGGGAACGTGAGATAATGATTTCAACAATTTCAAATCCATGACGACGTGGCAATACGTTGGAAGATAAGTTGCATGCATTCAAAGACGTGTCAATTCTTTATGTAAACTGTTAGGAACATGGCAATACGTTGGAAGATAAATTGCATGCATTCGAATACGTGCCAATTCTTTAGGTGTAAATTGTCGGAAACAGTTATTTTTAGTTTAATGTATATAACAGGCTCATACCTTGTAATTAAGGTCGCAAAATTTTATATACTTTCTCTATAAAACTAGAGTACGCAAGCCAAAGAGTGAAATAATTTGTGAGCAATTATGTGAGTTTGTGTCCTCTTTTCTTTGTATTTTTTACGTTTCCTTAATTAAAACATCCTTTCATTTTGTCATTTATTGCATTTATTTAATGTTGTTTGTTTTAAACTTCTTTTACTTTCATTCAAGCTTTATGGTCTTTAAAGTTTACTTTTACACTGCCTGCACCCAAACATTCGTAATCACATCGTACACATACTTTCTAGTAAAAGTTTTTGCACAAAGACATTCTAGAGATTTTTCGAGTTAATCTCAAAGACTTTCAAACTCGTGATTATTCTCTAAAAACAACTGCAAACAAATTGGCACGCTTAGTGGGACACATGTTTTGTGCGAAAAGTTATTTTTCTTTTTCAAGAAGTTGTCGTATTATTTACTTCGTTTTATCATTGAAATATTTTCATTGTATAGAGTCATATGCATATGAGGAGTGGTAAGATTTTTAATGTCCAAGGTCATATGCATTTGAGGAGTGGTAGGATTTTAGCGGAAATGGTTAACCCAAAGAACACTTCTCATGCCCGAAATGATGCTCTAGACCATGAACCACCAATCACTACGACAGTTGGTATAATAGGGACAACAAACACTATCAGAGTCACACGCCCTATCCAATCTCTAGTAGCGACTTCTATGTCGATGCTAGGCGTTATGGCTACTTTACCATTGGTAACAAGTGCACCAACCACTCCCAGGCTTACTTCGATAGTTGTGGGGGACCCTAATCCCTCATATGTCCCAAATTTTACAATGCCTTTAGTTACGAGGGATTACCCATATGGCATGTCAACTGCCCTGATGGCAGGGTTACATAGTCATGCTTCGATGTTTGCAGATAATGGTGCAACAATAATGTCACCCCTCAATCAACATTTGGTGTCAGAATTTGCCATAAACAACCCTGTTTGCATAGGGCAACCACTAGGGGGATTTTTATATGGCCATCATATAATGCCAACAAATCCTTTGATTTCGGCTTTGCTATCATCACCACAGGCTCCACTATAAATAATGACTCTGTTCAATGACACATTTATGTACCTTAGAATCCACTTCAATGCTTGTCAGTGCGCCTTCCCATGATTGGCCATGTACCTGCTTACTAGGCTCACTTCGTACTCTATGTTCGGCCTCGTACAAACCATAACATACATCAAAGAACCTACTATACTAGCATATGGAATGTTATTCATATAGGCTCTTTTAACTTTAGTACTAAGTCTTTGAGTCATGCTCAGCTTGAACTAAGGATTAGTCAGTGTTACCACATGCTTTGAATTAGACATGCCAAACTTGTCGAGAATCTTCAGCAGGTATGTCTCTTGAGATAAGCATAATCTCAACTGCTTTTTAT